ACATAGATTAGTGGTTTAATGTGTAATATATGTACCTACATGTTTTATGAAAAACCTTCATATTCCCGATGCGTATACGAGCATAAAAATATCGGTTTTATTTTATTAGGGCTTATGAAGTATCTAGGTAGGTATTTCTCAAGATTACAACACTTAGATTTTATACTTAAACACAGATATATTAATAAATGAATAGGTATAGATACAAGTTTGGAAATCAATTTTATATTACATCAAAATATAGGTAATATTAGAAATTATAATAAAATTGTCAAAACACAATTTATCTGATTTAAAAAAAAAAAAAACAAAAAAAAAAATGAAAATAGATTAATTTGCTCCAATGTAAAACAATGGTTGTAACTCAATTTATTCATTTTATTTCCAGGCGTTGCCGATTGAAAGATGTCCACAATTCCGAGACCAACCACCAGGAAGTACTGCTACATATAACGGAAAGTGCTATATATTTTATAACCGTCAGCCAATGAACTTAAGGGACGCATTAGGGTTTTGTAGATCAAGAGGTGGCACATTGGTTGATGAAAGTAATCCCGCATTACAAGGATTTGTCAGCTGGGAACTATGGAGAAGACACAGGCAAGTTAAAATATATTTAATAGGAACATGTATTTGAATGTATATTACTACAGACTTACGTATTATACATTGGTGATTTACCAAACATACTAATCACTATTTTTCATTTAATAATGATTAATGAATTTTTAATTCTGATGTTTTAATACTCTTAAGCCTCTTAAGGCCAAAATGTTAATGTTTTCAACTACTTAGTATATCTGTATATTCATTTCATTTAATGAGTGTCATGTGGTTATAATTAACAAACTATCATAGTTAAATACTAATAGCTAATAAAAAAAAAAATCGACAAACAAATAGTTCGAATATTGATTATATATCAACATTTTCAAGAAAAATATCATCTACTTAACAATTTAAAGTAAAAAAATTATAGTTCTAATTTAAAAAAAAAAAGTTTGTATAAGCAAAGGACATTATTAAAATGGTATAAAAATGTAAATAATTAGCAATATGGTTATATAACCCATTAAAAATTCCAAATTCTTAATTTGAATAAATTTACTATAAAAATCAAAAATGGGGGTGAGTATGTTTGGTGATTCATCTTGTATATTACACATAATATGATTATACAAACCTCCATCTAACCAATGTGTGTATGAACACACTATCCATAACTCCCTCTCTATATTTAACTCCCATGTCATATTATTATGGTTGTTATTATTTTCAGGAGTGATTCACAAAGTCAATATTGGATGGGCGCTGTGAGGGACGCTCATAACAAAAATAATTGGAAATGGTTAAATGGTGATGATCAAACAGTATCGTTCTGGAGTTTACCATCAAGTGGTTCTGAAACTACATCAATAAATGGAGGCGATTGTGCCCGATTCGATGGTTCCAAAGGCTGGTTATGGTCAGATACTAATTGCAATGCTCCGCTAAATTTCATTTGTCAACACCGTTCGTATTAATTCATTTTTAGCATAATTCAATAAATACCACGTACAAATAAATTTTAATTATTAAAGTTATAAAATMTTTTTTTCATTTTTTTCGCGTAGAACCRACTGCTTGTGGTAGGCCAGAACAACCTCCAAATTCAACAATGATAGCTGATAATTTCAATGTTGGTACCGCGGTCGAGTATTCTTGCGATGAAGGCCACCTGTTGATCGGTCCATCAACTCGCACGTGTCTCGGAACAGGGTTTTATAATGAATTTCCACCCGTGTGTAAACGTAAGTTAAAAAAAATTTTAAATCTGTAAAAACTGAATTATGATCTATTTTATAGGAATTCAATGTGGTTTTCCTGCGGACATTTCAAATGGTAGCTATAAGCTAATCAATGGTACGGTCAACTATTTAAGCCAAGTACAGTATAGTTGTAATGAAGGATATAAAATGATCGGCAGAGATAGATTAATTTGTGATTTGGACGAAAGATGGGATGGACCACCACCAAAGTGTACAGGTAATACAAATCATATTATTATAACTTTTTCATTTTTATATGATTATTATGTATTTATACATATATATATATAATTTATTTTTTTCTGTTAAGTCCAAAAATGTGATGATCCTCCGGTAGTTCCTAATGGTGAATACCAGATGTCAAACAATGAAAGTATTGTTGGAACACTAGTGGAGTACACATGTGTGTCTAGACGTTTCCGTTTAGTCGGACCCAAACAATTAGTATGCTTACCAAGTGGCCAGTACGATAATAAACCACCTTATTGTAAAGGTTAGTGTTGTGGTTATTTATAATATWTTCCATTCAATAAATTCTATTCAATTGTTTATGATGTCCGATATTGAACGTGAAATATTTGTTATTCAGAAGAAATCAAAACACCAATTGCACCAGCTGTGTTAGTGACTAAGGCTGTATCGACAAGTACTGTTCCTAGCAGCCGTGCGCCACCGACTCCTAATCGTGAAAAACCACGGCCGTTCACAACCAAGCCAACTATATTAACGAAACCAGCAAACGATCAGGTGTGTTAATTTAGTATATGAATTATTATAGACCATTATGAAAATCAGACACTTTCTTTGGGTTACAAATTTGAATCAAGCTAAATATATATAGTTTATCCGAGATTATTAGTTCAAATCTGAAAATTCGGTGCTTTATCAACCGGAAACTGAGCGAATGTTACTTTCTCTTCATTAGGACGATAGCGGCCAAACGTCATCCAATGTGGTAATCGCCTCTGCGCATCCGCATGACAACGAGATTCCAGATAGCGTTCACGTCCGAACAAACCCAAATGCGGCCAACATACCGTCTCAGGTGGAAAGCGAACACCGGCTTGGCCCCAAACTCAATTTGGGTAATTTATACTAAATCAATTTCTAATAGATAATAGTAACTATAGTATGTTAATTTTTTTTTGTGTGTATGTGTAAAATAGGAGCAATAATCGCATTGGGTGTGTTCGGAGCATTCGTGTTCCTAGCAGCAGTTGTGACCACAATCGTCATTCTAGTGAAAAGGTAACGTGATTTTATTACGCGGTGTGCTTACTTCATCGTAGGACTTAAGTTTACAAAAAGAAAAATATTGTGCGCGTCTGAAATCCTTGAGTGTCTGTGCGACTAACAACAAAAATCGCTTGTCGGCTGCTACATGTGGGCTGTTTTGTTTTTGTTTACAGCAATAGGAACCAAAAACTTCCGTCTGGTCCGCATAACATGCCGTCCCGATGGTATACACTACTGGCAATGCCGTTCCCCGACCAGCAAGTCGGACGGCGTCAGTTCTCTAGGGCGTATAGAAGCCGAGCTGGCTATTTCTCTAACCCGTTATGACAATAACCGCGCACCGATAGACACATTATAATTTTAACGTGTACCCGTACCAAAACARTACAAAACAAAAACAAACCGTATACCTACCCGAAACCCATAAGTCTAAGGTACGACTGATATGTATCACCACACCGTTTTCTAATCGCACTGCTATTGTTGTTTTATCGTCATTATTATCATTGTTGTTGTTGTTGTTGTTGTTGTTGTTGTTGCGTTGTTCTCGTACGACTATCGTAACAATAATATTATTTTATGGCGCACCGTTTTTACGCACGATATGCTTCAGTTTTTCGCACGCTTTTATATTTTATATTATGGGCACGGCAGCACGGTGTTATTGTATTCCTAGTTTGGATGTTGGGTTGGTTGACGTGGACTTTGACAACCACTGATACTTACTCGTCATTATTAGGCGTGCGCACGAGATACTTTAATTCAGGTATAGCTCAAAACATGACAAAACATTGTAGTAGAAGATGGTTAACGAAGAGTCTAGAATTAAATTTTATTATATTRGAAAACAAATTCGGGATTCCAAGTGAAATTTTTAACGATACACAATGATAAAAAAAATCAGTGCGCACACTTATATTATTATATAGGCATGTATTAATTGTTTCTCCAAACTTTTTTTTTTCATTACCGCAAAAATGTAAAAAGGTTCGATTGCCATTATGTCAAAAATAATATTAGATATATTTTTTTAATAGTTATTAAATCGATTTAAACAAATGACTTCAATATGGGAAAGACATTAAGACATCCACATTCTTCAACTTAATGATACATAATTATATTTTAGTTAGGTTAGGTATGTTTTATTAAACTACAATTTAATAAAACACCAAATTGTACAAGCATTTAAAATATTGTAACCATATTGAAACAAATTTTGAAATAAAAAATATCCATACAATGATTTACAAGCGATTTAGTTATAATATATTAAATTGAGAGACTGTAAGCGCACCATTTGTTTTCTTCTCTGATATTTGYGCAACCAATACTGTGTTGTTATTTTTAGTATTTGAGTGAATTCACTTATTATAAAATTTTAAGTAAAAAAATATTACTTGTGTCACTAGTTCACTACGTTTGATTTTTACTATTTAAATTTTTTATGAAATTTATTAGCATTTTTAAATTGTAATGATTTCAACACACTCATATATTACTTAGGTACATGAACATTGAAATTTAATAAATTAGTCAATGTATTTTTACATAAATAATATTCTTAACCTTAAGTAAATTCACTCAAATATTAAAA